AATGGTCCACTGGGTAAGATCTCACAATATGCCCTACTATGTAGAAGATATCCGCATTATGTCAGCGTCTTGCCCAGTCTGTGCAGAACTCAAACCTATATTAAATTAAAAATCAAGAGACTCTTTAAAAAGCATTTCGAGAGAATATCTTAGACTTCAAAGGCCTAATTCAAAGAACAAAAATATATACTTACTATCGTCGACGAGTATTCTCGCTCTCCATTCACCTATCCATGTCAAGATATGATTTCTGAGACAGTGATTCGGTGCCCAAGCAACTTATTTTCCATTTTTAGAATGCCTGGATATATTCACACAAATCAAGGGTCTACAGCAATACCTTCATGGGGCTAACTTTTGGAAAAATGTATATGCGAGAATCTGATACCCCAAAAATAGAGACGTGACAGCGACGCAAAAAGGATTTGTGCAAAACCATAGTTGATCCCTTGGTTTTATTATTTAGGTTGTATGATTCACTGTTTATGACCCGACCCATTGTTACTTCGGTAACATTGAAAGGGCTCTTCAAAAAAGAGTTAGGTTTTAGACTAGGTAGTTTTAGTGATTTTCGACACGGACTTGCATTTTGTTCAGCTTCTTGAAAGCATCGTCGCCCTAATATTTTTGTGAATTTGAAATAAACTATTTTTATTGTCGAAAGTCTAGCGTTTTCTTACATCAGAAGTGGGATAAATTCACTAAAAGTACCACAAGTTTACTAGTGCCGAAAATTAAATTGCCAAGCGCGAGTTTTGTGATTATGAAGCAATTAGCGAAAGTGCTAGCCGCGACGCCCTAGAAAATAAAAGAAGTGTTTCCAAATTCGGATCCTGTGTTGGCGACCGAAATTCCTAGTGACATCTTTATGAAGCAAGCAAGCGAAGTGCCGCCAGTTTTTCAGGAGGAGGCCAAGGGATGGTTTTCTATGTAAAAGCCTGTGGAAAAATCATGGGGTGCGAGTTTTCTAGCCTTGTTCTACTAGACGGAATTGAAGAGTAAAGCTTTTCAAGTCACTATACCATTAAACCGAAATCCTTCTGTGAGTATGCTTGAAAAAAAGTATGTTTTTCCATTTATTAATTTCGATCCTTTGATTGACAGAAGATTAGAATTTGTTTTTAGAATTCGCTAATATTCACGTAAAAACTACAGCGTTCAGTAGTAATTAGGAACATTGGTTCACTCAGTGATTTATTTATCAATGATATTAGAATTGAGAAATGAGAAATGTCTGAGTCAAAAAAAAGAGCACAAAATTTCCTTGATTTTATGGGGGTCATTTTTACTCAGCTTTATTAACGTTAAATGGCATGGGGAATAGTTCAGTCTGGAAATTGAACTTAAACAGTTGCGCAATTTATTCCAGGATTTCCAGGTAACCAATTTTTGTTGAATAGATTGATTCGTTTACTGCAATATTATAATACCTAGAATGTTCGATCCTTTAGATCTAGAATTTGATGTTCGGGATTTTAACAAACCTCCCATTTATCTTGCTAATAGTTAGTCGATTAGCCCCATTAAGATTTTTCAGTTTTCACGACGAATGTGAAGCTGGTAATTGAAAAAAAACCGTTTTCAAAATTAATCATTTATTCTTCCGGAAAATCACTGATTTTGAAATTTGTGAAAATGTAATGTGACCATTATTATCTCGAATGTATTGTAAACAAAGACAACATGGGTCCCATGAAGGGTTTATAGCATCCTATCGACAATGAGCCAATCCATTTTCAGGTAGTCTATGCGGACTGTGTAAAGCCTTTTCCAGTGACTATCAAAAGTTCTTGTTATTTTTTTTACATTTGAAAAATTTTACAGCTTTTGATTAACTTATTTACAAATTTTATATTTTCCTTGCATGTGAGACTTTTGCTGCACATGAAAGATGTGAGCTTTTAAACTAAAAAATTGAAAGTTAGGACGTTTTGCGTCTTATTCTGTGTTGAAAGCTCGTATATTTTGCATGATTATATTAGCGGAGGTGAACCATTGACTGTACTGTGTCTTGATACGAATGGTTCTTGGATAAGTTTATCCAGTTCAGCGGAAAATTGGTTTAGTCGACGCTGTGCCACGTTTAGATCAACGATGTTGATTTTAGATAGTTTAAGAGATTTCAACCTGGCAATTGAAGATTCACTGGCAGTTATTTCCAGCAGTCATAGGTAATTTCCACTGGATGGCTTTTATAGGTGACGTTTCTGTATTTTCAGCTAGATGCCTAGCATGAATTCTGGAGTTTGTCACAAAGGCATTGTATGTTGGTTGGAGCTTGAGCACTGTGTTGATATTGATTGTTTTTGTCACACTGTTTTTGCCATCACATCTGACAATGATTGGAAGGGATGATGATAATGTTATGTCAGTAGTTTGTGTCTAGTTCTTGCACATTTTAGTCACTAGCGAGAAAGATTGTGTATATTAAGACATTCAAAGCTTGCACGCTTTGTGTGTTGTTCTGTGTTGAAAGCTTCTACACTTTGCATGAATTATGAAAACGTTGAAAGCTCGGACGCTTTACGTTGTAGCTCTATGTTGAAAGCTTGTACGCTTTGCATGAAGTATGGAAACGTTGAAAGCTTGCACGCTTTGCGTATTGTTGTTTGTGTTGAAAGCTTATACGCTTTGCATGAAGTACGAAACCATTAAAAGCTGGATGGTGTGTGTTGTATGATACTTTGAGTTTTACGATGATATATACTCTAATTTCTGCGATGATGTACTTTGAGTTCTACGATGATATATACTCTGATTTCTACGATGATATACTTTGAGTTCTACGATGATATATACTCTGATTTCTGCGATGATATACTTTGAGTTCTACGATGATATATACTCTAATTTCTACGATGATATATTTTGAGTTCTACGATGATATATATTCTGATTTCTACGATGATATACTTTGAGTTCTACGATGATATATACTCTGATTTCTACGATGATATACTTTGAGTTCTACGATGATATATACTCTGATTTCTACGATGATATACTTTGAGTTCTACGATGATATATACTCTAATTTCTACGATGATATACTTTGAGTTCTACGATGATATATATTCTGATTTCTACGATGATATACTTTGAGTTCTACGATGATATATATTCCGATTTCTACTATGATAGACTTGGATTTCTATGATGATATTTTTCGTTTTCTAAGATGATATAATTTGATTATTACGATGATTTACTTTGATTTCTATGATGATATGATTTTTAGTTACTGCGTTGATATGATTTGAATTCTGCGTATTTTCATTATCTCTGGTTGTGTCGTTCACGGTCGGCCTCGTAGTCGGCTCACAGCTCCATATTTGCTTAATGACAAAACAAAACCGGAGCTGTTGCCTTTTTTTTTCTGTTTCAGATTTTGGCCGTTCTCCTGTTAATTCGAGAACGAATTATGTGTCAGGTTGGCCGTGCGAGAATCTGATACCCCAAAAATAGAGACGTGACAGCGACGCAAAAAGGATTTGTGCAAAACCATAGTTGATCCCTTGGTTTTATTATTTAGGTTGTATGATTCACTGTTTATGACCCGACCCATTGTTACTTCGGTAACATTGAAAGGGCTCTTCAAAAAAGAGTTAGGTTTTAGACTAGGTAGTTTTAGTGATTTTCGACACGGACTTGCATTTTGTTCAGCTTCTTGAAAGCATCGTCGCCCTAATATTTTTGTGAATTTGAAATAAACTATTTTTATTGTCGAAAGTCTAGCGTTTTCTTACATATATGAACAAGCATGTCAAACACTTAAAGTCCGATCCTCTCGTTGAAGAAGTTGATCTCATTGAAGCTAATCTCTTGATATGCACTAGTTCAACTTTCAAATGGACGAGAAGCAACGGTTTTACTAAAATATTTAGCTTCATGTGGTGATAATAGTCTACTGCAATCGGAAAACCGTGCTGATAATCATGTTATAACTACGCCTACTCAGTCAGAAGAAAGTGAAGATGTTTCACAGAAACCTATTCACATTCCCACAAAACAAATGCGACACACATTGAACAAGAAAATGATAGTAGGACAACAAACCATCAGCGCCTGGCTTAGCCTCAATCTATTCACTGTGAGCCACAACTAGAAAACCAGATGCGTCGTGGATCAAGGACTAGAAAATCTCCCAAATATCTTGACGATTACCTGGAAAAATGAGCTTGGGGAGAATGTGGCACTTTTGTTTTGATAAATGAGTCTTCAAAATAAACCATATCAAAGGGTGCTTTGATTACGAAAACGTACGTCGCATTGTTTCTTTTTTGGTCAGGATTTTTGACATGACATTTTGTCACAAAATTGAAGAAAAATATTGCGAAGACATACGTTTAAAAAATCATAGCCATCTTTGATATGTTTTTTTTTGAAGACCCGCTATCTTCTGTTATAGTTATGTTTATGCATCAATTATCATGTCTTCGTCATTGTCATTACTAATTGTTCCTCATTTTTGCATGTCATACAATTATTGTAGGTATATTAAAGCCTAATTTCTAAAGGTAATTCAGTATATCATTACACTAAGTATAATACATAATACATATTGATTTACTGAAAGTCTAAAAACTAAATTGTTATTTATCAGAGAAATAAACGACAGTTTATTTTGCTGAAAGATCTACTTAGTAGAATGACTAAAGATTAATAATCGTTAAAGCTATTCACAAATTAGCTGAAAACATATTTCAAATCTTTCGAAAACAAAATGCTTGATAATATTATCTAATGAAAATTAGGATTTCATTGATGTCAAAAGTTTTATTATGATAGAAAGTCAAATATTGAAAGTAAGAATGTACCTACGTAGTAAATTCCTTTAATGAATTGACTCAAGATTAAAAATGTTCAAACACCATGAAAAAACAATTAGCGAAATAGCAATTATCGAGAGTTAGATAATCACAGATTAGATAATTGTATGATGTTTGATATAGGAAAAACCACACACCAATTTTCTTAGTTCTACCAAAGTTCTACTGAAGGTTTGATTGTAGTTGAACAATTTTAAAAATTTAAAATGGACATAGATCAAAAAATTCATCAGTGGGTTTGTGATATTTTTAAACACGAAAATTTTAAAGACATTAAGGTAACAATAACGGGTTCTTCAGAAAAAGGTGACGGATATGTTGGTGATATAACTTTTATCACAGCAAATATAGTTACTAGTGAAGGCGAAACAAAGGATCTGGAATTGGTTATAAAACATGGTAAATTGAACGATATTCTTCGTAAAGTGATGCCAGTTAGAGCGGCATTTGAAAGAGAAATTTATTTGTATGCAAAAATAATACCGCAACTTCAAAAATTCCTGGATGAAAAAAACGTGGAATTATCCAGTCAATTTCTTCCCAAATGTTACGGCACCCTATTATACGACAATGAAGAAGTTATTATTTTAGAAAATTTAAAAGCACAAAACTATGATTTGTACAATAGATATCAACCTTTGAATATGGACCATTTAAAATTAACTCTTGCAATATACGGAAAATGGCACGCTCTGAGTTTTGCTTATCAAGATCAGAATCCTGAGGAGGCTAACAAACTATTTGGAAATTTACAAGACCTAATGGTGACCTTGCTCAAAGCAATTGATAACTATATGACTGATATACAAGAAGTGTTTCACACAATCTTGCAGGAAAAAAACGAAGTGGAGCTTATTGAAGGCATCAAAAAACAAATTCCCGATTTTCATACAACTTTTTGCCAGTTATCATCGGAATTGGAAAATGAAAAATGCGTTTTTCTACATGGAGATTGTTGGAATAACAATTTTATGTTTCAATATGTAAGTAGATATTATTTTTATTAATCATTCTTAAGTATTTGGTTTCAGATAAAATAAAGTTCCAGCATTGTTGCTTCAACTTATCTATTTTATGTTTTTTGAGTAATCTTGAATAACTAAAACAAAGATAGGTTTCACTATAAGTTTCGCTAAGTAAAAAAATTGTGACAATTCTAAATTTAATAATTATTTCTGATGAGCAGATTCACTTAAAGAAAATATTTTAAATAAAACCTACGCCAGCTTTTATACCACTTTTGGTTGAATTTCTAAGCACTTTTAAATAAAAATTATTTTTTTCAGGATGCCAACAAATCTAAACCAGAAGCTGTTAAGTTTCTAGACTTTCAAATATCCAATTTCAGGCCACCAGTATTTGACTTAGCCTACCATATCTATTCCGTGACATCGGAAAAAGAATTACAGCATTTTGATGAATTATTGAAAATCTATCACGATTCCTTGTCGAAAACTTTAAAAGATTTGGGAAGTGACACAGATTCAATATATTCATATGAAGATTTGAAACAGCAATGGAAGAAATTTTCTTCATATGGAGTTATGATGGCATCGATAGTTTTACCATTAGCTTTGTCATCGAAAGAAGATACGTTGGATATTGGAGATATGAAGGAGGGCTCTCAGACAATAAAAACGGCTAAGAGAACTTTGTTAACAAATGGCGATAAGTTGACTTCAAGAACCATTGCATTTACGAAACATTATTTAGATTTTCTTAATAAATGATATAATATTGATGACAACAAAAACAAAAACATTCTAATATTTTATCGTTTGCTAAATAAACGCATTTATTTTTTGTAATTTGTTACCTACCTATCTTTCAATTTTTTCAACTCAATTAAGTCCTTGTAATTTAATACTCCATTTTTCTGGGTTCAAGAAAGAACCCCGTACCTACCAATCTTATGGAAAATGGCTTTCGGTGAAATTATCTGAAATTTGGACACGTTGTCCTCCTGGACATTCTAAACAAAAATTATCATTGGCACAAAAAAACCCAACGAGACTTTTTCGAGTTATGGCAAGTTTAAAAGATACAGTAGTGTCGCGATAATCCGATCCCGCGATAATCCGTATGCTTCTGTAATCCGCATCGCATTTTCATTCCCTTGATGTACTCTGTAATCCGGATTTTAGTTGATTTAGTAATCCGAATTCATTTACATGACTGTTGAAAATGAAAACACAGGTTTTCACTTGTCGTTTTGTAACTGCGTTTAAGTGGACAGATAGTTTTTACATGTCTACACGCATCATTCAATACGCAGCGTCCTTCCTTACTGTGTGGGCTTTTTCAATGAAAATGGCACCTATTAAACGCAAACACAAAACTAAGTCTCAACGAAAGATCAGCGATTATAGACGAGCTGAAACGCGGAGTTAGTGGCAAATACTTAGCTGTTAAGTATGGAGTAGGGGCTTCAACCATCAGCGACATTAAAAAAAAGCGGACTGTAAAATGCCTTAGTAATCCGAATAATTTGATAATCCGGATTGGTCTGGTTTTAATTGATCCGGATTATCGCGACACTACTGTATCATATGCATACACTTCAATTTTTTGTCACTTTATAAAAATGTAGAAATGACATTCATGAACAGTTTGCAAACTGTCAGAAATAATCGCCCAGATAAGTTACCGATTTATTTTGAAACCACGACATTGAAAACATATATGGGCGATGCTTTCTGACAGGTTGCAAACTCTTGAGAGAACAAACCTATTGACGGCACGTATTCGTACAGGGTGGCCCGTTTAAGAGGGGCCTATACCTTATCTCGAAATCTACAAGGGCTGTGAAAAAAATGTAAATACAAAAGTTGTTTCTAATAAAATTATCTACAACTTTTTTGTATTGTTTTTGTTGTCACTTTACTATATACAGGGTGGACAAATGAAATTTCATTTTTTTTAAATAGAACACCCTATATTTCAATACATTTTTAAATAGACCTTTGAAAGACAAATTCAACGATATACTGGTCATGTTTCTGTGATAACCCGTTTCGAACTTAATTATTAGCGATTATCTTCATGATTTGGGGTAATTTTCAACAGTCATTATTACGTGACTCATAAACTTTTAAAACTTTTTTTTGCATGATATTTTCTATAAAATAATGCTCTTCTTTAGACTATATTCTTCAAATTTGAAATATTTGCTTTAAAAACGCAGTGTTGCCACGTTTCGCAAAATGTTACGCTTTTCAATTTTTCTAAATGGGACCTCCTGTTAATTTTCGAGTTTTTGGATAGCCCTTTAAAAGACAAATTCAACGATATACTGGAAATGGGTCTGTGATGCACCGTTTCGTAGCAATTATCTTCAGTTCTAGCACAATATTTCATCTGTCCAAGTCGCCCGGTGAATAACAAACATAATATGTCTATTTTCCTTCAACCATCTATTAACGTGGTTTATTAATGTATAGAAATTGTTCAATATTGCCACCATTAATGCATAAAAAGCACTATTGGGCATTTTCCAAAATTCACCGGTTTCTGAACCGGTGCGATACCGGTTTATCAGTTTACTCACCAAACCGTTCCAAAATGTACCGAATTTTTACCGGTTGAACCCGATCGTCCGTTCCAAAATTGACCGGAATGATCAGCTGTTTGAAACCGGTGAGGCACCGAATCCACCGGAAATTTTTGTCGGTTTTTTCGGTTGGAGATTTTTTGACACTTTTGTTTTGATTTTGACGGACATTAATTGCTACTATCAGGGCTGCGTTCACATTGAAACGTCCGACCCGATAAATGACGTCATGGACAAATCGTCGGGTGATGGTTAAACTGTGAACGTAATGGACGCTTGTTGCTTGTTTGTTGATGTTGACATAACCCCACTATCATACTGTCAACGAAAAATGAAAAAATTGCAAAAAGTACTACTAATTGTAATTTGGGCATATTTATGTAATATTTAGGTCAAATTATTGGGAAGTAGATAAATTCGGAATAATTTTTCCTTTTTATTTTGTAAATGTTAATCAGCTGACTGCCAACCTTCCCATTAACCCTTTTCACGTGGCTCCGGTTTAACAAACCGCAACATACCGCTCAAATTCGATTGGTAGGTATCCATCACGTCACTTTGTAACCGGATTAGAAAACGGTATGTCGAGGGTATGTCATTTCTCTAACCGTTTTGTAACCCGGTTAGTTAAACCGGAGCCACGAGTGGACGTAATGGCAAGTCGCCCGACGTTATATTTTATCAAACTGAACGCTGGCAAATTTCACTCGACGTTGAAAGTGAATGATATTCGGCGCGTCCGACGTTCAAAGTTGAACGCGCCCCAGCAGTCGTTTGTTAAATTTTTGCTTGCAGATTACAGAATGAAAAAATATTTGTGCGTTGCGTAAACAATTTTTATCTTTATTGCCAAATAATCTACAAATATCGTACTGAAAACTACCGTCTATTTACTGTTCAAAATGATAAAAATTAATATTCACCAAACTTACTGCACCTACACCACACCACCATGCATTCCAAACCACACACAACACAACCAAACTTTAATGCACCTAGGCGTTCCAAAATGCATCAGAAAAATCTTGTAACCGGACTTACACCTAACTTTTACCGGAATTTTTTGACAGCTACCGGTTTATTTAACCGGTCAATTTATTGGTGAAATTTGGAAAGTGCCCATTTTAGCTAATCTACTACAAAATTAGACATTTTTTTCATTCAACAGGGATGACATGAGATATTGTGCTAGAACTGAAGATAAACGCCAATCAGGTCGAAACGGTGCATCACAGATCCATGTCTAGTATATCGTTAAATTTGTCTTTTAAAAGGCTATCTAAAAACTCGAAAATTTACAGGAGGTCCCATTCAAAAAAATTGAAAAGCGTAACATTTTGGCAACACCGCGTTTTTAAAGCAAATATTTCAAATTTGAATATAGTCTAAAGAAGAGCATTATTTTATAGAAAATATCATGCAGAAAAAAGATTAAAAAGTTTATGAGTAACGTAACAATGACTGTTGAAAATTACGCCAAATCCTGAAAATAGTTGCTAATAAGTTCGAAACGGTATATCACAGACACATGACCAGTATACCGTTGAATTTGTCTTTCAATGAGCTATTTAAAAATGTATTAAAATATAGGGTGTTCCGTTTAAAAAAATGCAATTTCATTTGTTCACCCTGTATATAGTAGAGTGACACCAAAAATAATACAAAAAAGTTGTAGATAATTTTATTAGAAACAACTTTTGTATTTAAATTTTTTTTACAGCCCTTGTAGATTTCGAGATAAGGTATAGGCCCCTCTTAAACGGGCCACCCTGTACATTATCCATTTACAATCCGATGTCCACAAGTACTGGTAAAATTTTGATATATTTACCTGTACCTGTGGACATCGGATTGTGAATAGGATATAAATTGAAGCAGTAATTTCCGCGCTCTGCGCTATCTTATTGCAGGCATAGGGCCGTCATTTGATAAAACCCGAATTGATTGTAGCTCCCAACGGGTATAGGTATACCTATATAAAAGTTTGTTTCACCAGGGTTTGTACTTGCCACCAGCATTTGCCTTCCTTGTTTAACAAATAAAAATTGACTGAAACAAATCAATGACGTCAAAAACGTTCGTCTGTTATTAAACCAAAAGTCATTCATTTCAAATTTGTCAAAAAAATTGAATGTGTCAATCTACGACAACCCTTTTTTTCAAGTTTCAAGGTCAAGTATGAACCTGTACCTACTTCACATACAAGGGCCGTATTTCTCTAACGTAACAATGATGTAGCAATGTTACAACGCGTATTTGAAAGGAACATAGAGGGTACGAAGCACTGGACTCAAGAGGGCGACATTTTCATGGAAGACCGAGGATATCGAAATGCTAATCCATTGCTTCAAGGCTTAAGTAGGCATTTGTCTACAAAATGCCAATACCTCTTTAATGGTTTGGGAGTAATCGACCACCATTATTTTTCGTTACCAACATAATATGGCGGTCACATATTATGTGACCGCCCAAGGAGAATTGCTTTCTTCTGATTCCATTTGAAAGGAGGTTCTTTATTTCAGTAGAAATAAACCATCTTCTTTTGGTGAGAAACGTCTAGACTTTGTTGCAATGACCTACTGATATATTTGAAAATAATCTAGGAAGATCAATTTTTAGGAACGCCAAACTACAAATCTATGAGGAGTTGTCAATACACAAGAAGTCTTAGAACTTCCAAAAGATACTTCAAAGGTTGAATGCTGTATAAGTACCTAGACCATGACCTATACAATGACATTTGCACATAAATCAGAAAGAACTAATAAACGTAATTTTCTGTATTTATGTTCCATCATTTCTAATTCTACTGAAGACTGTAAAGCTGTTGAGGCCATTGGCCAATGCTTGAATGTATGGATACATTGATAAACGACGCAAAATGTTTATTTATGTTTCAGAGTTCCCTGTATCTACTAAAGCATCGGCAATGGCATTGTTTAATTTAATTTTGATAAGGCGTTTAGTTAAATGCCACACAGCGAAGCCCAGAGGTAGGTAGAATTGAAATTGAGGCAGAAGCTTTGACTTTTCTTTTGCTTAGACATATACGTTGGAGTATTGTTTACGTTTACCGCATTCAGTACATACACGTTGAATCTCTAGCAGGGCATACCATGCGAAAATGTCTTTTGGTAATTCTACAGAAATACCATTTGTATACTTTTACAGCAGCGGAAATAGGGTATACCTACATATGTTTCACTACTTTCAAATTGAATCGAGTTAATGACATGTTGAGAAATGCTATATTCTGAATGTTTTTGTGAAGATTCTAGAGATATAGAGCTTGATTCTTGGCTTCATCAAGGTTCAGAGTGGTATTCTCCAACAATCGAATTTGGGAAGAGCTTGAGCCACTGATGAAAAAATTTCTTATAGTCATTTTGACTTTTTTCAGCGCTGACAGTTTTGAAGTTGACTCAGATGTTGTGTTTGTAAGTAATGATCAACGGTCTCTCCAGGTTGTTGCTTCCTGAAGGTAAGGCAGCGTTTGGCAAATATGTAATTTTTTGGTTTAATAGGTATAGCTTCTGAGTAAGAGGAACAGCAGGATACAGGATATGTGCTCGTAATTGTTGTGACTTATATAGTTTACCAAGAGTTTTAGAGTTCCATAATTATCAACGGACGACATGAAATTGTTGAAAGTTGCTTTCCAGTGAGTCCACTCTTGAGCAGCTTTTGAGGAGTTTTAATCAGCGTCGAATCGTTCAGGTCCTAAGTGTTTATTCATCTGCCAATACCTATACATGGCATTCAAAATAATGAACAGTTAATGAGAATGACAAAGACATGATAATTGATATACCTACTGACATACAGAAATAAATACATTTTATGTAAGTACAATAAATTTGCCAAAAAATAACCATTTTACTATAGTCTAGTAGGTAATTTAAGTACATTTAAGTTTAGACTTTTGACTTTCGTCGACTTCCTCGCACTTTTTATCATCAGTAGAACACTTCTGGTTGCCATTTTCATCTACACATCTACAAATTCCTCGTCTACATTGTATAGAATCGTAGTTGCCGTTTTTCAAGCACAAGGGCTTTTCAGTAGTGGACATTATTAATTTGGCTCTAGCACATTCTACAAATTTGTGTTATTTTTAGCTTTGAAACTTCTTTTGTGAATTTTTTGTACTTACTACAATTCATATTTGCTAAAAGAGATTTCATGGCTGCAGTGCTGGCGGTTTTTTCTAAAGGTTCTGTCAATATAGATCCTTCCTTGTCGACGCAATATTTGCTGAAAATAATAGATATTAGGTATTGGCGATTCAACTATAAAACAAATTTAAAAGTATTAAAAACTAATTGATAAATGTTTCTGAAATTGGTTTTGATCAATACACTAATTTTCTTGAAGAGAAAATGAGAAATGGAGAGGAAATCTCAAATCAAATTGAAAAAAACCTGTTAGACAAAGTATAAACTTTTTGTGACAATTATAAGTACGTGCATTTTTTTGCCAAGTTATCCAATATTGGCCGGTCTATACTTAACTTACTGAGTTTTATTTTCTTGTACAGCAGCAAAGGTTCCATCCATGTCGCAATTAGGGTAAGAATAACCGAGCACCAAACTATAACTGTGTTTCGATTTTTTATTTTCCACTTCCTTGTGTATTTCCATGTACTCTTTTTCGCACTTTTTGTAGTACTCTCCTGTATTGTTTGATGAATCTACAATAATTAGTAGCTACTTAATTTTTACAAAAAGATGCAACTATAACATCTTTCAAGCTGGCTTTTAACCCAATGAAAATAACTCCTATTTGTGGCGTATTTCTCACCAATTTTCACTTACAGCATTTCAATGTTTCATTCGTAATAAGCTTAATGTCCACCAAAGGGTTGTTGGGAAAGGTGGGCGCCCCGTCCAACGAATCCACGCATAAGCATTTTTCATGGATGCACTGCAACCGATCGAAACTGCCATCCGCAGCGCATCGAAAGTGTTCGTGAGGGTGTAATTCTCGGCCCAGAATTTCTATTGCGGCGTGGTAGGCCGTAGAACAACCTAGTGAGAACAGAAAGACATTACTTTAGTCACTAAGAGTTTATTTTTTGCCAGATGAGATGGAAAATACGTTTCCCTCATTTTAGGTCTGTGCTCACAGGAGTCTCAAGCTGTCAGAAAGCATTGCACATACATGTTTTCAATAACGTCGTTCCAAGATAAACCGGTTACGTTATATAGGTAATACGTAAAGTGAAAATAAGGAAAAATTGTAAGTACATGTAGGAAATTGATACTTTAGCATGCAACCTTGTGTATAGTCAATTTACCGCATGTCATGTAATCCGTTATCGTGTTATAATTAGCATCTCCAAATATTCTTGTTCCATTTGGTAGTTGACAGAAACAACTATAAATTGAAGAGAAAAAAAAGATTATTTTAGGTATAATCATGACTATTGTATGTATTTATAAGTAGGTACTGTAACCTGACCAGTAGGTACTCTTTTATTTAGTTAGATGCTAAATGGCGAGCGGTTCCTTTGATAGTATTTTTGAAAGATAAAAAAAATCATAGCTCCTGACTTGTCTCGTAATATTATTTAACTTACTACTCACTTTTGTCCTGGGATGCACCTGTAAGCAGAATAAAATCCATCATCGTCGCAAGAGGGTCTGGCTTCCATAGAACCCAAATATCCCAGCTCTCTTTTATTATCGTAGATTTGTTGTGCAGAAGCACATGGACTATTCACTAGAAGAAAAAAAGCAGGATGTCGAAGAAAAGTTACAATGTCAAACATTGGTTTCAAAACGCTGCGTTACAGTCAATAATTTTAGACAGTTTTTAAGTAAAATTTTTCTTACTTTTCTGACAAGTCCCGTCCGTTTCGCCGTCCTTTTCAACATTGCACATCAATCCAGGTCCACATATCGATTTATGTTTGCCATTTGACGGATCACCAACACTGCAAGGCTCGCCTTCAACTGATGCAACAAATTCATTTAGCATAATATAATGAGATATAACATTATGTAAAAGACAAATTTTGTACCTAAATTCACTAAACAATATTTGCAACAATTGCAAATGTCCGGGGACAGCAAGTAGACTCCCGCGTTCGTCTCGTTGCTTTTGCATTTATCTGGTACTTCATCGCAAACTGCGTCCTGAAATATAGAAAAAAAAGTATAAGCCACAAATTGAAAACAGCAATTTTCATGTTTCACAAAGATCCGAACACAAGGCTTTTTCTCCCCAGATAATTTTCAAAAGTCATATTTTCCGAGCTTGTTGACCGTATCTGACGTTTCACCTACAAACGCGATATGGCTTCCTATTATCGTTATTTTACTAGATCGATATTTCTGTTTTCTACATATTTCTGACTCAGATTCGACTTTACTCAATTCTGGGTTCTCTTCTTCTTCTTCCTAGCCGTTCTCTATCCTCTGGATATAGAGGGCTCTCTCAGATTTTGCCAGGTATTTTTATTCTGTGCGATCTGGTGCCAGTTTAGTCAAACAGGAGGTTCGCTCGATGTCGTCGTACCAGCGTTGTTGAGGTCTGCCCACTCTTCTTGTTCCTCTCAGGGTCTTCATCTTGTTTCTTGTTTTTCTCTCTACGGTAGCCAGCCCAGTTCCATTTGACGGTGTATATTCTATGTGTCATGGCTTCGACCTCTGAATTTCTTATTCACTCGTCGGTCTTGTGCTTCCTTAGTGTAATACTCTACATTCTCCTTTTGATTGCTCTCTGATGTAAGTAAAGGGGCTAGGACAGTTCTACAGCAAAATCAGTCATTTTCCCATGTAAATCTCCATAAGAAAATCTAAGGTCCGTTCTGGCAATTTTTGTACCGTTCAAGGTCATCCGTCCAGCCCGCCAGCAGTCGTTGCCGCTAAGCCCCGCCCCCTTTTCAGTGCCCATGTCTTTCATCGGTCGCACTAACTGGTCAGCCGCCGCTGCGTTCGGGGTCATTGACCGTACCTGGCTCCAAGCGGCTCATCGAACACACATAGCAGCTCGTGACTTGGTACCTCATTCAAGGTGCATTGTACTGATGATGACGTAACTAATAATAAAACGTCGTTTCGCCATCGAGTCTGATGATGACGTAACTAATAATAAAAATGTTGTTTAGCCATCGGGTTTGATGATGAAGTCACTAAAAATAGAAACGTCGTTTCGCCATCGGGTCGTCAACATTTATTGCAACCGCAGCGAAACCATAACTTGTAACTTTCCTGTGACCTGCGATAAACAAGCTCTGACTAGTCTGTAGCCAATCACCAGCTTCGTATCCACCTGCACACTCCAGCGAACTTTTCCTAGAAATATGGGCCATCGTTTCAATTTTACTGTTGCTTATTACGTTGGCATCCTGCGATAAGCAAGTCCTAACAAGTCTCTAACCAATCAGAAAGCTGAGGTCCCTCGTCTCAAAATAAGAAACCAGCGACAACATTATTTTATTTACATCATATTGATACAACGTTTTAGCCCGTATTCGGATCAAAATCGCCGCTAGTTCGAGTCACTTTTATTGTCAACATGACTTAGACCCATGACTCATTTATACAAATATTTCTCTACAAAAATAATTCCGTCTCAAGTTTTCCTCATAAGGATTTTCCTGGTATTTTTGCTTCAAATATTCATTACCTATCATCAATATATTGCTAAATTATATTAACACGTTCACCAACAAAAACAAAAATAAGGCAAACGCGTCGCATAGGAAATTACACTGCTTGAGCCGTCCAGCCGCAATACTGATAAACTATTTTCATTCAGAGTAAACAATTAAACCTGCGACAATGATAAGAGCAGGCGTTACGTCATAGACATATATGTGAATATTTTCATCAATGCAGTATCAGTTGACTAAAAATGGTACAGTAGTAATGAGGGGACCTGAGCCTGGGAAAATTTTCGATACCGTGGGAAAATCTATAGATCGGCGGCGCCTTTGATCTGAAATTACTGGGATTTGACCCGGGGCCAACCCCAAATTTTTCGACGTCATTATGTTATCGGTGGCGCCATCTAGCGTACATAGTCTGAAGTTCGTTGTGTCCTTTTACAGGATGCCGTAGTGGTAAATAAAATAAATTCATAAATTAGCACGCCGCCGACGTTCAATGTCGTTGTGTTGTAAACAGGGGTATCATATTTCACGGTTATTTTTACTTATAACTGATAAGCGTTTCCGTTCTAGCAAAAACAACAAGCTCAAACTTGCATTTATATTTTATCGATGATAAACATGCATGGATATTTACACTGCCGACTAACTACATATATGTTTAATAATATATTTAAAAACAATCCAGCCCATAACCCCATAATACTTTCAGTCAAGTTGGACATTATCTATTACCCAACTAACAACCCTTAGGGCCAAAAAAAGGGTGATATCAAAAATTTTAAAAAGTACCTAACTATACCATAACTCTTTTTAGGCGGGGACAGCGAAGCTGCTTTTTCCGGGGTGTGCGCAACCCTAACTATTAGGGGAATGTCCGAAAACCGGATTTTGATCATCTGCGCACATGTCGTTAGGGCCTTATTCTATTTTTTCAATTATTTCGTGTTCTAGCGATCCGATTTAATTCGTTCTTTTACCAAAAATTTTCAAATAATTAGTCGCGTATTTGAAGACCAGTTTCACCCGTTTAGCATATGCCAAAAGGGCCTTATTCTATTTTTTCAATTATTTCGTGTTCCAGCGATCCGATTTGATTCGTTCTTTTACCAAAAATTTTCAAATAATTAGTCGCGTATTTGAAGACCAGTTTCACCCGTTTAGCATATGCCAAAAGGGCCGTATTCTATTTTTTCAATTAATTAACGTTCTATCGACTCGATTCAATTTATTCTTTTTCTAAAAATTTCTAAATAATTATTGGCCTATTTGAAGACTAGTTCTACTCGTTTAGCATGTGCCAAAAGGGCCTTATTCTATTTTTTCAATTAATTAAGGGCCGTAATCAATTTTTCTCGATTAATTCAGGTTCTATTGGTTCGATTTTATTAGTTTTTTTTACCAAACATTTCTAGATAATTAGTGGCGTCTTTGAAGACTAGTTCCAACCATTTAGCATACGCCAAAAGGGCTGTAATCAGTTTTTTCGATTTAATTTGCTCTTTCACCAAAAAATTTCTAAATAATTAGCGGCATCATTGAAGACTAGTTCCAGCCATTTAGCATAAGCTAACAGGGCCGTAACCAGTTTTTTCAATCAATCCAGTTTCTAGTGGTCCAATTTAATTCGTTTACCATAAATATCCACAATAATGTATTGGAATGTAAGTATCGAAAGTCCTGAACACAAAACAGCAGAGAGGATAACATTTAACAATAGCTTAGGTCTGAATAAAGAGTATGCAAAATTTCTGTCAAAAAAAATCTAAGAGTTGAGAGACCTTTCTATACAGTTCCAGATGACTTCGAGCGAGCGTGTAATCTCAACCATACGAGTACAAAAAAAAAAGCGCTCAAAATAGCTGGAAACCCATATTTGCTTCATGTTTCCATTGGTTCTTATGAAAATCCTTTTCAAAAATCTGATAGTCGTGGGTGGGGTGGAAGGGGGGGGGGGGTCACTGTGATATAAAACCGTTCAGTTCTCTGTCCCCATTCATTAGTTTGCAGTTTCTCAATGAGTGAAGACGCGCAACGCTAGTTCGCCTATACTGATCTATACGTTTGTGAAAAATAATAGTCATTAGAAGATGTCCCTCTTCGCAGATTTAGTGAAACATATAGCCTCTCTCCTGGGGCTACTTACACCAAAATATAATGATATCATCGCTAAAGAAGGACTGGAGGAATGTACTCGAGGAGTAAGAAAGCTCAACAAAGCGATCAAACAAGCAGCATCCATGGGTGAAAAGCAACACTTAGAGTCATGTCTGCGGAATATAAGAAGTATGAGGAAGCAGTTCAAGAATATGCAAAAGAAAGGGGCAGGACTTTCACCACGTCCTGAAGGAGCAAGAGAGCGAGTGCATTGGGATGATTCAGTTTCAGCGTTTAGCAGCAGGATAAGGACTGGAGTTATCTCAAATTTGAAACACAAAGAGCCCAAAGCATTCTTGGTTGATTGTGCTGCATTGTTCAAACGCAGGATCCAGAATGGTCTTAAAAAGGATGAAGCCATCAAAGTTAATGCAGTATTTTGTGGGGAATTCGAGATCGTCAAAGGTGATAAAGTACTAAAAGAATTTAAGTATTTCACAACGTCTAACTCGCCCATCTACCGAAATACTAATCTTGGGCAATGGTTTAATGAAAAAGTTGCTGAACCCATTATGCATGAAATGGAGGAATTCCAAGAACGTGACAGTGGTTGGGCCTTGAAGAAAATTGTTAATTTGGGCATCAACATTAACAAATTCACGCCACAACTAGGATCTTCATACGTAGAACTACCTTCTCAAATAGCTGCGAGGCATGCCTGTGTAAACGTGCAGAACACCGATAACAGATGTTTTGCATGGGCCATAGTGTCTGCTCTGTATCCTGCAAGCTCCGAATTTGCGAAAAGACCGTCATCGTATCCAGATCCTAAAGATGTGTTGAAGTTGAAAGGCATTCAATTCCCCATGACTTTAAAGCAGATTTCCAATTTTGAACGACAGAATGGTTTGTCCATAAATGTTTACAAACTAGGAAAATCTAAGAAAAGCTTCAAAGTCCAGCCTGCATTGCTAACAAAAAACAAACAGGAGAAGCACGTAAACCTCCTGCTTGTTCAAGATCAATATTTTGAGGAGAATGAAGACTCTTTATCTGTGAAGTATCATTATGTGTGGATTAAAAATTTATCAAAATTAGTATCCTCACAATTGAGTAAGCATGATGGGAAAAAACACATCTGCGATCGCTGTCTGCACTATTTCAGATCGCAAGAAAAGCTCAACAAACACCTTGAGGATTGCGTGAAGATTAATGAAACAGCTATTAGAATGCCAGAAATCGGGAAAAATATATTGAAATTTAAAAATTTTAAAAACAAGGAAAGAGCGCCCTTTATAGTGTATGCGGATTTGGAGAGCGTTTTGACCCCAACAAAGGAGGATCCTAAAAGGACTCAACACCATATTCCAGCTGCTGTAGGATATTACCTAAAGTGCTCCTATGATGACTCATTATCCTTTTACA